GTGCATGTAGGACAGTTGCAGATCTTAATAGATTTATGGATCTAAACTCAAATTTATGGAACTAAATTATTATGGATTTATGGAACTAAAATCAAATTAAATATGGATTGATAATATGGATAAAAAATATGGATTTATGGAACTAAAATCAAATCAAAGTGTTGTTTACATTTTTGGGGTAGTACAACTTGTACATAGTAGAATACACTAGATGTTAAAGTTTCATTTACTTGGTTCCCTTTGTAAAAACAACATTACAACTTACATGCACCAACATCAGATTTGTTGCAAGTTGAAACCAGTTTTATTGCCTGATATATTTTACTCTGCCAACAAGTCTTAATAACTAAGGGGCTATTTACATGAGCCTGACTAGTCCTGTTAACCGAGGCACCCAGCTTAATACAAATCATTTAACAAGAATCTGCCTAGCCGAGATCTCACTTGAGTCAAAGGGGACGCCCGGATAACCGGGCTGGAATTTTCCCATGTAAAGTCACCAGCTCATGTAACCTGGCTAGCCAGGCCTTCAGCCTGGTTAACCGGGCCAGCCTACATGGCTACCCGGGCTCATGTAAACAACCCCTAAGGTGATAGCAACAATAATATACTTGGTGCTAAATGTAACATAAACTTGAGTAACAGAGAAAATTCTCATCTTCAGATTATTTTCCCCTCATTGTAGAGTAAACTGTTAATATGTATCTTAAAAACTAGAGTGTATATTAGAATCTCACAGATTTATAATTTAAACTGTCATTAAGATAAATCAGGTCTTTTATTGTCTGTTTTGTAAATGAGGTTCCTTGATAATGTCAAAGGAGGCCTTGTCAGTTGTGACTTGACACACTTGTGATACCAAATTTGTAAAGTCACAGCTAAAGGATTTTAATAGGTTCAAGTCAATATATTATCCCTAAAATTTATTTTAGAAGAAGAAGTAGGTCTAGCAATTTCTTTCATATCGCAATATTATTTTATACGATTGCAGGCCAATATGCCAAGTTGAATTACACTGTATTGAATAGTTGATCACAGATTCACTGAAGGTCCGATGAACTGGATTTATTTCCTTCATTGTTATGGCATTCACGTCCTTAATCTTTTTGTACACCATGAAATATCACCAACTTATCACTCAAAACATATTTTACGGCGATCGGACTAACCACACATAAGCTATATAACTTTATATGTTTATCACTATTCGCCAAAGACCGAGGTGAAATTAATCGATGTATGACAATGGCCAAATTCCACGCTTAAATTCGTTTCTCATCCTCGTAGTGACAATTAAATCAAAGAACAACCTCTTCTTTATGATATTTCAAAGTATCATGAGTTTTGCTTGGATACATAAAAAGCTAGAGCACTTTTAGTGGCTCTATTTCGTATTCCGCCATATTAACTCCTATAAAATTTCCTCTGGTTTGGTTGCTTTCAACATGGCGGCCACACCGGAAGTCGGCTCACATTCTGGCACACTTTTTACCCTTGAGTGAACCTTCTGCCCTTATCTCTTCTGTGACATGGCGTCTTCTGATTCATGTTTAATTCATTTTGATGGGGAAAAAGGCCCACTTACAAGTTTTAGTGTGGTTTCGTATCAAAAATTTTTAGATTGTCGTAGAATTTGGCTAACGCTAGACGGGGAAGAACGCAATGTTGCTCAAAGAAGTTTGCAATTTGTTAGCGACAGCATGGAAGTAGCACGGTCGAAAATATCGATGCAAATTTCTCTTTATATCATTGAAGTTGTTACTCGGCATTCACAAATAGCAGTATGATCAACCGAGCTCAAGAGCGTTGTCAGAATATGGACAAAGAAGGTGTACCTTCATCCTCTGGTCTCCATATTATTGATGAAGAAACGGAATCAGATGAAACTGAGAAACTCCACCTGTAAAGAAAATGCTGAGATCTACACACGTAAAAATCTCACAACTTGTCAACAAGATGTGTTCGCAACAGACATGTAGCAAGCTTGTCAACAAGTTGTAAAAATTCTGTTACTTTATACAAGCTTGTCACTCACAACTTGTTGACAAATTGTTGAATTGCTGTTGGAACAACTTGTAACAAGTCTGTTGATTTTGACAACCTTGTAGCAAGTTGTCAACAAGCTGTTGACAACTTGTCAACAAGCTGGGAACAAGCAGTGCGAACACATTTTTATATGTATACCCTGAGTTCACCTACACATGTAAAAACGCACAGCTTATAACAAGTCTGCAAACAAGTTGTTACAAGTCTGTTCACAAGCTGTCAACAAGTTGTCTTCACACTGCTTGTTCCCAGTTTGTTGTAACAAGTTTGAAACAAGCTGTTAACAATTTGTAACAAGCTTGATGGCATTATCAGCCTTGTTACAAGACTGTGCTAACAAGTTTGTTACAACCATGATATAGCAAGGATGTTACAAGGTTGTCAACACAAGGTTATAACAATCTTGTTATATCAAGCATGTAACAGACTTGTCAGAACAACCTTGCAACAAGTCTGATAACTTCGACAAGGTTGTTACAAGTTGTTCCAAACCTGATAACAACTTGTGACAAGCAGTGCGAATACATCTTGTTGACGGCTTGTTGGCAGACTTGTTACAAGATGTGAGAATTTTACGTGTGTACAAGTGCGGCAGCTAAATCATGGAATCTCCACGTGTTGCAATTTTGCAAATCAGAAAAGTCATATTTTACTGAGTCGGTAAGTTTATTGATTTATTAATATTTTTTCTAATATGTGTTTTGTAATTATATATTGATTGCATTGCCTTTAGCTACTAACATTATAATGGTTGTGTGATTTCTATGCATGGGTTTTTACTATTTAGGACAAAATGGTGTCTGTCGAAACAGTAGGTGGTAAACTGAAAGAAGCTGCAACAAAGAAAGCTGATGAAAGTATTTTGATTCAAATTGCTGATAAGGACCTAGCATTGAAAGTGGAATACCATAAACAATGTTATGAAAAGTACTAAACGGTTTCCACAACTTGTTTTCCATAGACCAAAGTTATGAAACAAGAGTGAAATTGTTTATGCAGAGTGCCTCAGTCAAGAAAAAGTTTTATGGATGATGACATAGAAACATCTCAGAGTTCACACAAGAGTCTGATTCTGATGTTGACATTGTAACGAAAACATCAACATACACAAGTGCAACATTTAAGAGAAATGTATACAGTTGGCCTAACATTGATAAACAACTTGCATAATTGTACATCAGCTTGGTACAAGAACTGGCCACCACATGCATCAGATATTACTGGAATAATGTTTATGTGTTGATAGGTGCCTGTGCAACAGCTGAATCATATGCCATTACCAAAGATAGTGAGAGACAATGTCCAAAACCACTCAAAATCTTAAATATCAGGCCAGAACAACCAAACATCTGCCGAACGGTCATTGCTAGTGCTGGGGACTTGGGTATCTGTACTTTCCCCCTATTAGAAATATAGACCAAATTTTGACACAGAGAAAAATCTTTGATGTAGTTTGGTCATCTAATTCAAGGTAGTCAGCATCTTCTGGGTGATCTGAAAACCCAAGCATCCATGCCATAAAATTAAACAAGAGAGGTGATACTAATGTTTTAACCAGTAATATCTGATGCATGTGGTGGCCAGTTCTTGTACCAAGCAGATGTACAATGTTTTGCAACAGTCTTTACAAGTTGTTTTTCAATGTTAGGCCAACTATATTAATTGTCTGTATACATTTCTTTCAGTCTTGCACTTGTATACTGTACGTGGATGCTTTCAATGCCAATTTGAATCAAAATACTTTCATCAACTTTCTTTGTTGCAGCTTCTTTCAGTTTACCACCATCTACTGTTTTCACAGATATAATTTTGTCCAGCTTTCGCTTTTTCGACTTCTAAACAATAAAAAACCCATGCATATAAATCACACAACCGTTATAACGGCCCGAGCGGCTAAAGGCAATGCAATCAATATATATAAATTATAAAACACATATTAGAAAAATAACAATAATTGTGAAAAAAATAAATCAATAAACTTACCGATTCAGTGAAATACGACTTTTCTGATTAGCAAATTATACAAACGCTAAACGCATGGCAACAAGTGGGGATTCCTTCCATAATTTAGCTGCCGCACAGGCCCGCACTCGTATTCATCTGATGCCGTTTCTTCATCAATAATATGGAGACCAGAGGATGAAGGTACACCTTCTTTGTCCATATTCTGACAACGCTCTTGAGCTCGGTTGATCATACTGCTATTTGTGAATGCCGAGTAACAACCTCGATGATATTAAGAGAAATTTGCATCGATATTTTATTTATTTTCGACCGTGCTACTTCCATGCTGTCGCTAACAAACCGCAAACATCTTTGAGCAACATTGCGTTCTTCCCCATCTAGTATTAGCCAAATTCTACGACAATCTAAAATTTTTTGACACGAAACCACACTAAAACTTGTAAGTGGGCCTTTTTTCCCATCAAAATGAATTAAACATGAATCAGAAGACGCCATGTTTACAAATGCTAAGCTGGAAACTTCATGTAAGAATGAGCATGAGCCCGCGAAAATCGTCATTTAGAGTGTTTATTACACCAAGTATCCTGAACAAAAATGGCGGCGATCGATTGCGAAAGATGTCGATTTCTTCAATTTTCGAAGAAGAAATACTCGAAAACTGCAGGTTTTGGGAAGTGCAAACAAGCGGATTTAAACTTTCTATAATTTATCCTAATTATTTATCTTGTTTCCAAGTAGTGCCCGAACCCGGGCAACGGAACTGAACGATATCGTGCCACAGAATACGGCCTAAATGAAAGAGTAATTAAGACAGACAAGATCACGCCTGACAAAAATGCATGCCAAATCGCCAACGTGCTTCAATTTCTTTAATTTTCATCCTGTTTCTACAAAATTTCCCATAAACATAGAACATGTCATTCTTACAAATCGTATGTTTTTTGTTTTTCGAATTGCTACATTTTTGGCGGGAAAATGACGTCACAAACTTGCCGCTAAAAAAATTAACAGTTAACTATTGTTAATGTTATGCACTTATTCGGTAGACGACATTGAGAGAGTCATAAAACTGAACTCTGTTTCTAAATACCACTATTTCTCGCGAAGATATAGCGGTACAAATGTAAAAATCAGCCATTTTGTTACTATGGTAGTATAGTTATAACTAGAAATAGTTTACACTAAAATTGCGGTTAACTAGCGGTTAACTAGCGGTTACTAAAAATGATCATGCCTTATGGTAATTTACAAATATTAATGCGACAAAATGTTATTACTACTTTCTGGCTTTCTCTCGAACGGCTTAGAAGATTGATAAAATTGGATGAACTTTTTAAAAGTAAAACAGTATTAAACCACGTGTAACTTGATCCCTGTGCGTCTATCCGGCTGAAGGAATGCATGGCGCTTTTCAATATAATGGGACAATGACTATGAGTCCCTTGTTACAAACGTTTTATAATGTGACCGTTGTGTGTTAAGCTTTGCTCGATTTTTTATATTTGTATTTGGTTTCGACTGACTGATGTGTGAACCAAGTCTTTTGGTTCCTGTTTTGATTAATATGTCTGAAAAATCGTATAGTTGATACTTGATAGAATCTTGATAGACGGAGTTTTTAATCTTGTGTTACTGTTTAACCTTTAAAGATTTTCGTTATTTGACGGATTGACTCCTTCACCAACAACAAATGATAGTAACAACGTGCCTCACAAGCCTATTAATTAATAGACACGTAAAACAGACCACAGAAACAAAATGCCGTTTGACAAGGTGTTGACCCAAGCGAATAATAATTCTTACAGAAAGCAACGCAACCTTTGAACCCTCACCTTTTAAACTTGCGCAGCTACGGCACTGCGCCAATAATTCACTTGCCTTTTATAATAAAATTTGAACCCTCACCTTTTAAACTTGTGGCCTTTTACAGACTTCAGTTTTAAGACTCTCTCAATGACGTCTACCGAATAAGTGCATAAAATTAACAATAGCTAACTGTTAATTTTTTAGCGGCAAGTTCGTGACGTCATTTTCCCGCCAAAAATGTAGCAATTCGAAAAACAAAAAACAAACGATTTGTAAGAATGACATGTTCTATGTTTATGGGAAATTTTGTGGAAACAGGATGAAAATTAAAGAAAGTGGAAACAGGATGAAAATTAAAGAAATTGAAGCACGTTGGCATGCATTTTTGCCAGGCATATATATAAAATGCATAGAACGTAATTTTCCCATTCAGCCCATAGATTGAATAAAAAATGTTATTATATAGCTTTCTGGCGGTAACATCATACATATATCCTCTCTTTTCTCGGTGTTAATGTGCTATTCCTTGCTCAATTTGTTTTGAAGGAATAAGTTCTTTATGCAGAGCTTGATTCCCTGCAGTTGATTACAAACATTTTTTCGATTCAATGAGTTTGCTTGGTCTAATGACGTCGTCGACCAGATAGTGTATCGCCTTTGAAATTTGAATTCGTTCTTTAGGTTGGCATTGGATGTATTTTGTGATATGGAATTACACAAATTTCCTGCAGATAAACAGAAATGCAAAATTGTTGTGGAAAGTTGTAAGTTATATCTTCAACTATATGTTCAAGATGCGCAATATACAGAGCTGCAAATGCCTATATGCACTATATACTGTACAGCCAGTATATAGCTGTAGTATTTTAACCTTAAAACCCAACTATGCTAAGTAAAACTCCTTGTTAATACAGCTGTCTAGTTCTCCTCGAGGTGCCTGTTTTTTCCCGCCGGAAGTGCTAACTCCCGGATGTTACACTCCTTTTTTCCTGGATTAAAACCAGAGTCCCTGCAACATAACATCTAAACTAATAATGTCAACACTATAACCTAACAGTTTGTAATCCCTTAGTGTTTTATACTCTAATATTAATGTAATTACTCACGAATAATAGTCCGGTGTCTGTCTATCTCTTTGCGGATATCGGGCTGCTGGAACTGCATTTTCTCCGCTAACCACTTGTTGGTCTGGAACGGGTTGCTGGTTGATATCTGGATCCATGACGTCATTTTCGTTTTCTTCGGGTGTTTCCCTATGGATCACCTGATCTTGATGGCGATGAACCTCGCGGTCGTCTTCCAACTGTATGGTATAGGAAACTGGCCCGGTTTGTGTATTGATCACTCCTGGACACCACTTTTGTTGTTTTCCATATTCTCTCGAATATACTAAATCACCTGGTCGTAATTGTCGATCCACTGCATGTTGATCGTGTAACTCTTTCTGCTTCTTCTGTTGGTCCTGTACTCTTTGTCTTACATCTGGATGTAGTACGTCCAAGGGCCGGAAGATCTTGGTTTTCTGCTCATAAGCATTTCCGCTGGCGCTATCCCTGTGGTTGAGTGTGGCGTGAAACGGTATTTGAAGAGAAACCGAGACACTCTAGTTTCCAAACTTTCCTTATTTGACATCTTCTTCATCCCTTCCTTAAACGTCTGGACCGCCCGTTCTGCAAGTCCATTGGAGGCTGGATGATAAGGAGCAGTCCTTCTGTGATGAATGCCGTTTTTCGCCAGAAATTCTTCGAATTCTTCACTGCAAAAATTACTACCGTTATCACTAACAATTGTTTTAGGAAGGCCGTGGATTGCAAATGTTGATCGAAGTTTTTCAATTGTTGCTCTCGATGTTGCCACATTCGTTGGATGCACTTCGAGCCATTTTGAGTACGCATCGACCATGATGAGGAACATTTTCCCCAAGAATGGACCAGCATAGTCAATGTGAATTCTTTCCCATGGTCGGCTTGGCCATTCCCACGGGTGCAGTGGCGCTTCAGGAGGATTCTTTCTATTTATCTGGCAGTTGTTGCACGTTCGTACTTTGTTTTCCAAATCGTTATCCATATTCGGCCACCACACGTAGCTTCTTGCTAGACTTTTCATCTTACATATTCCTGGGTGGGTTTCATGTAATTCGTCAACCACTTGCCTTCTTCCTTGGGGTGGAACAACCACTCTGTTTCCCCAAAGTATACAGTCGTCTTGAACACTCAGCTCGTCTCGTCGTTGAAAATATGGTTGAAACTCCCCATCTGGACACTTGCTAGGCCAACCTTGTTTGATAAATTTCAAAACTCTAGCAAGTATAGGAGTTCTTTTTGTCCAGTTCTTCACTTGCTCTGCTCTTATTGGAGTAGTCTCCAATAGTTCCATGAGTAAGATTGTTTCTTCAGGAACTGGTATTGAACCTGGGGTGTCTGGCAATGGTAATCTACTGAGGGCATCAGCATTTGCATTCTGAATTCCTTCTTTGTACTGAATGGCGTAGTCATACGCAGACAAAATTAAGGCCCACCGCTGAATTCGAGCTGCAGCCATTGGTGGTGTCATTTTATCCGGATGAAGTACCCGCTCAAGCGGCTTGTGATCTGTCAGTATGGTGAAATGTCGACCATACACGTACTGGTGAAATTTCTTGACACCAAATACGATGGCTAGCGCCTCTTTGTCTAGTTGATAATAGGTTTTTTCAGCTGCGGACAGTGATCTCGAGGCAAATGCAATTGGTTGTTCTGTGTTGTCTTCCATCCGGTGTGACAAAACAGCCCCCAAGCCATATGGTGAGGCATCGCAAGCCAGTATTAACTCCTTCTCCGGGTCATAATGCACCAATAGATGTGAGGACTTCAATAACTCTTTGGATTTTCTAAATGCCTCTTGGTGCTCTTCACTCCATTTCCAACTTTTCCCTTTTTCCAACAGGCTGTGCAGTGGTGCCAGAATCGTTGATAAATTTGGTAAATACTTTTGGTAATAGTTGATCATTCCCAAGTATGATCGAACTTCGGACACATTCGTCGGTGCCGGTGCATTGGTGATGGCTCTGACTTTCTCTTGGATTGGTTGTATTCCTTGGCTATTTATCTTCTGGCCTAAATACACCACCTCGTTCACCATGAAGGCACACTTCTTCTTCTTTAGGCGTAACCCATGCTCTGACAACCGTTTTAGAACCTCTTCTAAATTTGCTAAATGTTCCTCATCATTCGAACCAGAGACCAAAATGTCATCCACTCGCACAACCACGAAAGGAATCCCCTGCAGTAGGTTTTCCATAGTACGCTGGAAAATCCCAGGGGACGAGGACACTCCATATGGCAATCGATTGTACTGAAAAAGTCCTTTGTGTGTGTTGATGGTAGTATATTTTTTTGATTCATCCTCCAATAAGATTTGCTGATAGGCTTGACTCGTATCCAGCTTGGTGAATTTCTCTCCACCACTTAAAGTGGCAAAAAGATCTTCTGCCTTGGGAATCGGGTAATTGTCTAACTTTGCAGCTTGGTTGACAGTTACTTTATAATCCCCACAAATTCTTATCGACTTATCATCCTTAACGATTGGTACGATTGGCGCTGCCCAATCTGCGAACTGGACAGGCTCTATAGTTCCCTCTCCTTGCAATCTTTCTAACTCCTTTTCTACTTTTTCCCTCAATGCATAGGGAACAGGTCTTGCCTTGTAATACTTTGGACTTGCATCCTCAGCCACATATATTTTGGATTTGAGACCAGAAAATGTTCCTAACTCTTCATGAAACACTTTCTCATACTTCTCAAGTAACTTATTTACTCTGACTGAGGTATTCTTGTCCTCTTTTAACTGAAATAAATTCTTCCAATTTATTTTAATCTTTTGGAGCCAATTTCTGCCAATCAAGTTAGGGCCCTTCCCCGTTATGACTAGTAAAGGCCATACGCCTTCTTGATCTTCATACTTCACCGAAGTCTCCAGCTGACCCGAAACTTTAACTTGCTCTCCCGTATAGGTATTTAGTCTTACCTTTGATTCCTTCAACTCTAGGTTTGGGTGTTTTTTCTTCAATAATGTATATGTATCCTCATTCATTACACTAACTGCAGCACCAGTATCTACTTCCATCTTTAGACTTTCATTGCTCACCAGTACATCAACAACATATGGCTCAGCTTGCTCTTTGCCCAGACTATAAATCCCATAGTTGTCATCTTCCTCTTCGATCTCGTCATCCTTCATGTTTAAATAGTTGCTGCTAGTGCCTGAGTTAGGGTTGTCGTTTCGTTGATTTTTTCCAGTCGCCTTAGTGTTGCTTCGACATTTTCTTGCTATGTGTCCTTTCTTGTTGCATTGTTGCGGGTCATGTTTACCCCCACACCGACCACATTCAGCCTTTGACCATGGTTGGTTTCCTTGTCTTTGGTTGTCCACACGGTGTAATGTTGCAGGTTTCTCAGTATTTATATTTGCATTGGCCATCTGATGTGTCAAATCTCGTGCATTCTTTACTGCAGTCTCCATTGATGTAGCTATTTTCATGGCTTTCTTAAAGTCGAGAGAACTTTCTGCTAACAATCTACGCTGAATCTGTTCGTCATTTATTCCACACACCAACCGATCACGTAACATCTCTTCTAAGGTACTCTTGAAATCACAATGTTCTGAAAAACTTCTTAATTCAGCTACATACGAAGCAATTGACTCACCAGGTTTCTTGAACCGAGTATTAAACTTGAATCGTTGCACTATTGCCGAAGGTTTTGGGTGTTGATGTTGTTGTACAAGTTCTACTAGCTCTGCAAACGTCTTCTCTGACGGTTTTCCTGGCGTGATTAAGTTCCGAATCAACTTATACGTCTTGCTACCACAAACACTCAATAATATCGCTCGTTGTTTATCTTCGTCGTCCACGCCATTTGCTTCGAAATAAAATTCCAACCGCTCAATATACTGACTCCATTCCTCTTGTGAGTCATATTCTTCTAGTTTTCCATGATTTGCCATTTTATCTCGTCGCCAAATGTAGTATTTTAACCTTAAAACCCGACTATGCTAAGTAAAACTCCTTGTTAATACAGCTGTCTAGTTCTCCTCGAGGTGCCTGTTTTTTCCCGCCGGAAGTGCTAACTCCCGGATGTTACAATAGCGTGTGTTGGCGAAAGCCTATTTATGATTATATGTTATGTCAATTTTTATTACGACACCGAAATTTTTATTAGGACACACTATATCTGTGGTCACTCCCTACCAATATTTACGTATCTTTGCATGTGTGTCATTGTCGTACAAGTATATTGTTTGTTATGTGCGGCGAATCTTGTAAATAAATAAACTATAATACATTTTTAAATATGTTTAGATGGTGATTCAGACGAGAAAATAAGTTTGGAATGGGAGAAAAAAAGATGTCCTGTGTTATTTGCAGGAAAATACGGAAGTCCTCAATTCAAATTATTCGGCTCTTGTCCAAAGGTTTCAACCAGCATTGCGTACTACGCTGGAAGTAAGTCGTATAAATGAGTGAATAGCAAGGGCTACCCCGCTATGGAAATACGGGGCAAATATTAATACTCCAAGTATATACTTAACATGGCCTGCGCCGCATACTTCAAAACACATGTGTAATAGGCTCTCGTTTGGACGGTATGCACGTACTTCTCCAGACTTGACCTTGAGCCAAGTTATATCTTTCCTTATAATAATAATAATAATAATAATAATAATAATAATAATATTTAATATTTATATTGCGCAAATTAACATGTTGTAGTATATGATCAAATGCGCATAACGACATCACGTCACAAGTTGGCGAGGTAAAAAAATATTTTCCGGAAATTAAAAAAAAAGGTTCAAAAATAGTTAAATTAAGGTTAAAAAAAATTTTCAGGACAAATCTTTCTGCAGCCATAAATTAGGCTATGGTCACTGACACCCAATGCATCACCCCAGAATTAATAATATTTTCTGGCTTATTAGTAAAGAACAAGTCCAACAATATTTGCGTTTCTTCCGTAATACGTGTTTCCTCTGTAGCTATATTATCTACACACCCATTTTCATGTTGCAATTTGGACAGAGAATATATTACATGTCGCTATTATCTATCTTATTCCCTAATATAACATTTTCTTGCTGTTTTAGGGAGATTCACCGCACTGGAAACATATATAGAATTCAGCCGCCGTGTAACGTCATTTGTGTTTACAGTTTACGTTCCTGCAGCAATGATCGTGTTTCTATCTACTCTTTCATTCTGGATTCGTCCAAGTTCTGTTCCAGCCAGAATTGCTTTGGGTATTACGACAGTTTTATCTGAAGCAACAGTAATGAGTGCAGCCCTGAATGCCTATCCTACGGTCTCATATTTGAAAGCATTGGATCTGTACACAATGGTTTGTTTTTGTTTTACATTTTGTGTGCTCATTGAATATGCCATCGTGCATATTATGATGGTTAACAAGAAGATGCCATTCCACCATCAAGATCAGGGAGGCCAGGTTAGTCATTATAGTTATTATATAGTTATTATAGGTTAGTTATTATATCGATACAATTCTATATAGATAGATAGATATAGATGTTAGAATATTTGTGAACTTGTTCATAGCACGGAATGGGAATGACTCAGACACATCACTTTTCTTCAAAACTAAAATCTAAAACTTTGGGGATCCAGTTTGTAACAAGGGTTTTTGATCGAAACCCCACCGGCTTAGTTTTGTAATTCTTCCAATCAGTTACTTATGCTTAAGTCATGCATATTACTATGTTATTGATAAATGTACTGGCATCATGCTAGTAAATTTATCAACGATACTGAGATACATTTTCTATGACGAATTTACTCACAGCACGTTCTACGAAAGGGTTGCATATTCTATTAGACAAATCGTACGAATTCAAGGAGAATTAACCCAAAATTTGATTGTTAAACGTTTTGGAAAAAATAAACCAATTTTGCAAGTTTTGCGTCACCTTTTTAGTAAAATACTTTTTAGAGTTTGATTTTGCCAGACGGAAATAGATTTTTCGGCTTTCGGGCCAAATTCACTTTTACACAATTTTGTGATTTTTTCACAAAATTAACATTTTCCGGTTTTTGGCAAAATTCAGTTTTAGAATCCAATGTGGAAATCTCTCCAAAATCTCGCTAAATAGAATCATATTATGAAGGAGTATTGTAGATAGAAATTATTGAGTGGACATTTATGTAGTATTTAAAACACGAGCATACAGGAGTGCTTTACCAGATATAATTATATATCTGATAAAGCACGGACTATACGAATGAGTTTTAAATGGTTTAAAAAACGACTTTTTAAACTAAACGTTGTCTAGGCCGAGAAAATCAAACCTAAATTTTTTGTAAATAAACATGCATGATTTTTATCACATATAAGACCACCGACACGGCAGTGATTTCTTTTGTATTTTCCTCATGAATTATTAATGAGTTTTTAAAATATATTTATTAACCCTATCGTAGAACCAGTTTCATTCGTTAAACATAAATATATTCCATGACATGTCTGAAACCATGAATGTTGATGAATCGTCATTAATCCGAGAAAGATTTAAACCACGGCGACGTTTCGGACTCTTCTAGTTTAAGAGGGTTAAACCGTTTTCTTCAATGCAGCGATAAACGTTATTTACGAGCTTGGTAGGCTATTTATTAATATAACCCAACATTCGACATGGAAAGAAGGGCCTGCTTTCCAGGAGAAATACAAGTTTATTTTGAAATATAAATTATCATTGCCCCAGTTAAAAATAAAACGACATATTTTCGATCATCTAGCTGGAAGATGACAATGGAGATGAAGTTGAAAATGTAGAAGGGCAACAAAATATCAAGCAAACTGTCGACCGTTATCCGTCATGGACACCAACATCCAATCTCAAATTCGAGTCTGGTTGTGCCAACGGTGGTTTTCCTCTAAGAAAGATTCCTTCACGATCATTTCAAGCTATCTTTGATCCAAACCTTCCACCTGATCAGCGACAGAACTATCGACGTAAACCCAAAATGCCGGCAGAAGAAAAACGATGCAAAGAAAGACAGTTACTTATTGATTTTGTGAGTCCATTGGATACTGTTTCTCGAGTGATTTTCCCTCTAGCTTTTGTTGTTTTTAACATTTTCTATTTTCTCTGGATGATGGACGAAATTTAAACAAAGCATTATAAAGAGGTTCCTCAGAGTGCACGTAAATTTAACTTAACTTGGTAAAAGGCACAATTAGAGTGCATGCATATGCGCGGCTGGCCAAATGTTGACATACGTTTTAATTATTTTACTGTTGTAGTTGTCGTTACTGTTGATGTAGTCGTCGAAGCGTTGTTTTAATTTCTCAGGCTATAGTGAAAATCTGAATGTGTTGTGGAGTGTATTGGCAAATGTGATGTAGTACAGGCAAATATTTTTTTGTCAATTTGAAACGACATTTATTATTATTATATATTTACAACCTCAATCTGTTTTTTTCACGTTTTAGCCAAGTTTCGTCGATACATTTGACTAATCCATATACAACTAATTCAATTAAGGTTGTCCTTTCAAAGTCAAAACTCAAAACAGCAAAACCTCTACCTCTAAGCGCGTAAAGCACGATGGACATTAATACAGTATACGTAATAGATCTTTGTTATAACTAGAAGTTACTATCGCAAAGAAATTGCTGCCTCACCCCCAAGGGATGAAAAGCAGCATGCATGCGCAATTCAATTTGCTGAATATATGATCCCGCTTTGCCAGGACGAGATGTGAGGCAGGATTATGTTGATGTATTAAAACAAGTCACGGTACACAATTCAGCAAAAAACTATATTTTCTAGAGATAGACATTTTAGTAAATTAAGGTGTAGATGCAGCGTATGCAGACTTTATTCATTCTATAAAGGGAAAGTGGCAGTTTATCATGCGGACTGTGGATAATGTTGGAAAGTTCTTCCAACCGATTGAAGATATTATAACCGAGAAGCTTATTCCTGCACTGACGGACAGAAGTCATTGTTCCATTGAAGAAAGAAAGTTGCTGTCACTGCCAACAAGATATGGAGGTCTGAATATCGTAAATCAAGTCGAGGAAGTTAGTCTGCAACTTGATGCATCTAGAAAGATCACTGAGCCTTGAAGGAAATGATAATCGAGCAATCTGATTCGTACAGAAAACCAGATTTGTGTGAAATCAAAGCGAAGCTACGTCAACAGAAAGCAAATCAGCATGCGAGGAAGGCCAAAATTATTCATCTTGGCTTACCGTTCTTCCCTTAAAAGAACATGGTTTTAATTTGAACAAACGCCTAAGATATGATTGGCAATTGAAAAGTCTTGCGCAACATTGTGTGTGTGGAGTAAATTTCTCAACAGATCATGCCATGATCTGTCCACATGGTGGTATGACAATTATTCGTCACAATGAGATTCAAGATATTACTGCCGATTGGTTGAGCGAGGTGTGCAGTGAAACTGAGAAAGAACCGCAGCTACAGCCTAATACCGGAGAAAGTATATTTCCTCAGTCATCACTAGAAATAAGAAAGAAGAAGCAAGATCAGACATAAAGGCAAAAGTCTTCTGTATCGACAGCAAAGTGCATTTTTTGATATAAGGGTGTTTCATCCCAACGCACCAAGCTATCGTAATTCCAGTATTCATTCCTTATACAGAAATCGAGAACATATGAAGAAGAGAGAATATGGTGACAGAATTAGAGAAATTGAGCATGGTTCCTTTACCCCCTAATCGTTTCAACCAGTGGTGGTCTTGGTAAAGAATCAACAGTCGCGTATAAGAGAATTGCTGAATTATTAGCGATTAAACGGAAGTCAAAATATGGTGCAACTCTAGCATGGATGAGGTGCTGCCTCTCTTTCGCCATTTTAAGATTGGCGATCGCGTGTATCAAGAAGTGAGGTACAAGAAAATGTGCACGTCAGATGAAAAGTAAGGACGTCATTGACTACTTTAGAACTGATAATTAAGCACGTTGTTATTTAATAAAAAGAACAAACACTATTAATATAATAGACAATTTTTTAAGAACTAGTCTAATTTTTTTATCATGTGACACAGAACGTAATATTTTATTTTTAAACAGCATATTGTAAAGTATTTCTTAATAAAGCATTCCTCCTCCTCCTCCTTCAAATGGAAATACGGCAAATAAAGAAAGAAATCGATATACGGCCGGCGTCATATTTAGACGAGAATGCAGAAATACAGAGATATATTATTTAAGTTTAAAGTGCACCAAGATCTGCTGTTCAACCACACCCGACCGTCATGACGTCTTTTATCTTCTGATTTGTTTCGAATTACATTCTGAAGAAATTTGATCCGCTGAAACATGAAACGGTATTTTTGACCATATGTTGTAATCGTCGTTCGACGCGATGTGGATATTCTCAATATATGCGATTCGCAGCGATGTGGATATTCTCAATATATAGTTTTCTGAAATGGAACTTGGTATGTAGATTTTTGTGATACTGGAGATTCTACTGTTTTCTACATGCAGACATTGTGTTATTATCACTCAAAAGACAAAGAACAAGCGAACAATCAGACGCTATATTACTTCCTATTTACATTGTATTAAAATGTCAAATTTAATATATTTGAATATTAAAAATAAAATACCATATTTATCTTTCAAATTGTGCTTTCAATGTTTCATGCAGACTGATATTTGAATCTTATCTAAAGTATTTGGAATGGCTTATGAGTTATCATAGGCTTTGAGTAGCAAAATATGCAGAAAGCAGATATAATATCGTTGACGTTGTATTTGCATTGTAACACAGTCTTTATAGACCTTTTTAAAACTGAGTCTCCATCGTTATAGAAAAGCGGCGGCAGGCTAGTTATAAGTACTTTTTAGTCTGCCAAGACCACTGGATGCTATTTCTAAATATTATTTAGATCTATTAGATCAGTGCTGGTATGTATATTGTATATAATAAAGCCAAAATGAAAATTTCGATTTATAGCACCCGCCATCTTGAAAACATTACTCGGCAGCCTAGGAGTACAGGAGACCATATAAAACAATGCAAAAAAGTTCACCATTCAAAGGACACCTTTTGGTATAATTTTATTAGTAACTGATTTATTAAAAACAAAACCTTTGTAACAAATTATGTTGACCGGTCCCTATAATGATTAAGAAAATAGGTACGCAGCGCGTACATGTGTTAGCCTCGGAAAGCTTGCCTAAAAAGATTGCATGCAAAACAACAAGGCAGAAAGCGCATAGCAACAGTGACATCGAGGATGGACTCGTTTCGATAAACGGATATAACATTTTTCGTAAAGACCGTTCTAGCCGTCGTGGAGGAGGAATTTGTGTTTATCTACCACAGGGCACCTATGCCAAACGTAGGTTGGACCTGGAACATGAAAATTTAGAATGTCTGTGGCTGTGGCTTCGCCCTACCCGCCTTCCCAGACCGCTCTCTGGTATTGCAGTGTGCATAGTTTATCACCCCCCTGGTAACCTGAGTATCAGGCCGTACTTTTTAGGGCACAGGCACGCCTGATCGTGGGCGAAGGGGAGAAAAGTACGGCCTGACACAAAAGTGGCATTTTGCCTGGTTTGTTCAGTCCAGAATCTGGACTGAGCGCTGATTGGCCGATTAGACAAACGATTTTTTAAATCTGTCATTTGATTGGCTGGTGCTAATTAGATTATACTATTGTTGTTGATATATTTTATAACGATCACAACTACAATTATAGCCGGCCCACTAAACGGCTGAATTTAAATTAAAACTGCAGTAAAATTAGAAAATAATCGCAAATTAGCGAAATATATTGCAAATGTAGCTTATATTAAATCGCCATCAGATTGCACTATCGACTGACGTATAGTTATAAAGTAAACTTAATATATATATATATATATACTTTATAATTATACGTCACTGTTTGTTGATAAATACGGCAAGCGCCATGTAAAGCTCATTGTAGTCACTGAAGGAGGAGAGAGCAATCGGGTGGCGATTTAATATAAGCTACATTTGCAATATATTTCGCTAATTTGTGATTATTTTTGTTAATTTTATAAGTTCATTGCAGTTTTAATTTAAATTCAGCCGTTTAGTGAGCGCCTATGCTATAATTAGATTGTTGTTGTCGTTGTGTGAAATTTAAATTTCTCCTGCGACATTTTGATTGGATACTAAATATAAACTTTGCTGTGGGCGGAAAGCGATCAGGTTAAAGCTAGATTACAGTCTATTCTGCGCATGTGCGGGCTTTGTTTACATTTTTTGTTTTGGTTTGGATCCACTTCAATTGTATAATATGAAGTATAGCTGCTATGCACTAAATAAATGGAGTCCGAGTCAGGAGTGGAGTTGTTAATTTTTTAAAAATTGTCTTCTGAAAGACAAGCAATTAAATATTTTGAAAGATCATCAATGGAAGATATATTGTTGATCAATTCGGCATTTGTTTTTTGTGTGTCGTTGATGAAACATTCAGAAGAGACCGACACAGCCGAGCCAAAGGTGCGAGTCCGCATTCATGACTCATTGTGTTGATTATATTAATGTTCGGCATTGTAAAATAAACTTTGGAAGTGTCAAAGTAATCATGAGTCTTTCCTTGGGGTATTTGTTCGTCAAAACACATTGCCAGAGTCATTGTTGCTGTCATGGCAGAAGCACTCGGTGTGACGTATTTTTGTATGTTTTCACCGTAATCTAAGTGTAGAACACGCGAGAACACGCGAGAAGCCACGCGTTGCGAGAAACACGTTGTTATGAATTGAACAGCCGCCATTATGATAGTTTTCGTAAATATTCCTCATGAATTTGTTGTATATATGTTAATAAAATAAGTATTATAAACGATTTGGAGCCTTTTGAACCTAAATTCTCTTACACGGTCCTTCGAGCCGGATATACAACGAATAATGGCTGAGGAATTGAAGAAATTAGTAAAAATACGCGGAGGAGATCGAGCCAGTCTTACGAAAACATTAGCTGTAACAGAGGAACTCTTAACGCAATCTACGGAAATATTTGAAGAAACACAGGCAAGTGACTTTGAAATAAAACTTACCCAACAACGTGTGATTTTGGGCGAGAAATTACCACTTCTAAAGAGTTTTGACGACAAGATTATTCTTTTGGTTGAGGACGGAAATATTGAGGATGAGGTTGCCAGTGCTGATGACATACGTCAAGCTATTCAAAGGGCAATTGTTCACATTGATTTAATTTTGGAAAAACTGAAGAAAAAATGGAATAAAGACAGTGGATCTTCACCATCGAATCTGGAAAGTTCTCTGTCGCAAGCAACAGTACCACACACATCTAACAGTACGGTAAGATTACCAAAATTAGAACTAAAACATTTTAATGGGAACATAATGGAGTGGACTCCATTTTGGGATTCATATTCTTCTTCCATTCATGAAAATCCTAATTTATCTGGTATAGATAAATTCAATTATTTGCATAGTCTGTTGGAAAAATCTGCTGCTGAAGCAATATCGGGTTTAAAAATAACTTCAGCAAACTACCAAGAGGCAATAGATATCTTAGACAAAAGATTTGGTAATCAGCAACAAATTGTCAATGCCCACATGAATGCTTTATTAAACCTGCCCAAGGTGACTAATGTAGACGACTTAAAGGCTCTCAGGCAATTACATGATAAAGTAGAGAGCCATATGAGGGGATTGAAATCACTTGAAGTTGACTCTGGTTCATATGGTAGTCTGTTAACACCTATTTTAATTGATAAGTTGCCTAAAGAGCTGCGTTTAGAAGCTACAAAGCAGCTCAAAGAAGATTGGGATCTAGATGAACTGATCAAAATCTTTAAAAGGGAACTGGAGGCTCGAGAGAGGGCAAGTCTCTTACCCGGCAGTTCAAGGGATCCCCCATCTAAGCCACCGTATAAACCTAAGATCCCATCTGCATCATCTTTGTTTACTACTGGAGGAAGTCCAACATGCACCTACTGTCAACAACCCCACCCTTCAAATAGCTGTAGTACCGTGACTGACAGAAATGAGAGAAAGGAAATTCTGAAACGGTCTGGAAGATGTTATATATGCCTTAGAAAGAATCATGTTGCCAGAGAGTGCAAATCTAAAATAAAATGTTTTAAATGTGATAAGCGTCATCACATTAGTATCTGTCCATCCAATTCTAAGGTGAAACCTAACCCACCAGAACAAGAAGCATCCCACCAACCAACCCCCTCTGAAGAACACCCACGCATGCAACCCCAAGGTCACCAACCCACAAACCAAAGTAGAGAACAACCTCAGAACACCCATGTCAATATGTTTGTCGATGCACAGTCCTCGATTCTTTTACAAACCGCAAGAGCCCCCATTTACAACCCAAAGGATCCTAGTAAGACGTTGCAGGCAAGACTTATATTTGACAGTGGAAGCCAAAGATCATACATAACTTCCACAATAAGAGACAAGCTGAATCTCCCTATAGTAAGACGAGATACCCTCAAGATTAATGCCTTTGGTTCTAAGGATGAAGATATTACCTCCTGTGATATGGTTCAATTTCAGTTGGACACCGAGAGAGGACATAAGTTAAACCTATCAGCTTATGTTGTTCCATTGATATGCTCCACAATCGGAAACCAAAATACAAGATTTGCCCAACAATCCTATGAACATCTTTCTGGTCTAACTCTTGCTGACTCAGCAAACGATGGAGAAGAATTCGATTTGGATATACTGATTGGAAGCGATTATTATTGGCAGTTGGTCACCGGTCATGTAATCCATGGAAACGATGGTCCTACAGCAATGCATACCAAGCTCGGCTGGGTTTTGTCTGGTCCAGTGAAAGGGGCACCACCCGATTCTCATTCCAATGTCAACATTGCATCTACCCATGTGTTACGATGTTCTACCCAACTCACCCCTTCCCCAGAAGCAACAATTGAAACTAACCTCAAACGTTTTTGGGAATTGGAATCACTTGGTATCAGTCCTGACGAGCATTCTGTTTACGAAGAGTTTCTAAGTACTGTGAAACACCGAGATGGTCGATATGAAGTTCACCTACCATGGAAAGATAACCAAGTCACCATACCAGATAACTACCAGCTTAGTCTAAGGAGACTAGAATCCCTCCTAAGGAGACTCCGACAAGATCCTAAAACCCTGAAGGAATACAACAACATTATTCAGGAGCAGATAGCTAGAGGAATCATAGAAAGAGTTGATGAAACATCCACCACCAATGCAAGTCGTGTCCATTACTTACCACACCATGCCATCATCCGTCGCGACAAGAAAACAACAAAATTGCGGATAGTCTACGATGCCTCTGCGAAATCCGAGGGCCCCTCTCTTAATGATTGCCTATACTCTGGCCCATCACTTGCTGAGAATATTGTAGACATTTTGCTGAGATTCAGGTGTCATCCAACAGCATTGGTCGGAGACATTGAAAAAGCGTTTTTGATGATTGCCATTGCAAAGGAAGATCGAGACGTCTTGAGATTTCTCTGGGTTGACGATATTACTAAGGATGACCCTAAGATTATGATATATCGATTTACGCGTGTAGTATTCGGGGTGACGGCCAGTCCATTTTTGTTGAATGGGACAATCAAACATCACATTGAGAAATATCAGGAAGAAGACCCGGAGTTTGTACAAAAGTTTCTGAGTGGCATTTACGTGGATGATTTAAGTTCTGGAGCCAAGGATGACAACGCAGCCTATGAACTGTATATTAAATCAAAACAACGACTAAGTGAAGGCGGATTCAATCTTCGCAAGTTTCTATCTAATTCTCCTACCCTAATGCAAAGAATACGGCAAAATGAAGAAAACCCTACCATCGGTCAGTCAACGACAGATGTGGTCAACGATGTCTGTACAGAGGATAAGTCATATTGCAAGTCAACAGTGGGTAATCCCCAAGAATTACCGTTGGAAAGGGAAGAGAAGATCCTGGGAATTCGGTGGAACTATGTAAATGACACATTCATCTTCAATTTTCAGCGAATTGTGCAAGCAGCTCGAGAACTTGAGCCTACGAAGCGAAATGTCATTGGTATCATATCCCGTTTCTATGACCCGTTGGGAGTTCTCGCACCCATAACAGTCAAATTAAAGATGTTTTTTCAGGAGCTATGCCAATCTAAAGTTGAATGGGACGAAGAATTATCAAGCGAACTAAAGAAGAAGTGGGAGCATCTTATCCTAGACCTGGAAAATATAGAATCGACCCTGATACCGAGATGTTATCAAGCGGGAATCGAAGAAAAGGTTCTTTCTTACAGCCTCCAAGGATTTTGCGACGCATCCCTTAAAGCCTATGGAGCTGTTGTTTATCTGAAAATGACTACCTCATTGGGAACGTTTATAAGATTTGTTATTGCCAAAACAAGAGTCTCTCCAATTAACAAACAAACCATTCCAAGATTAGAACTTCTCTCAGCAGTCATACTAGCAAGACTTATTTCAACCGTTACAAGTGCTCTGAACGAAACCCTAAAGCTTGATGATCCAACCTGTTGGACTGATTCTAAGGTAGCACTGTACTGGATCCTTGGTGAAACCCAAGAATGGAAGCAGTTCGTTCAAAATCGTGTCGTTGAGATAAGAAAATTGGTACCATTGAAATGCTGGAGACATTGCCCCGGCAAAGTAAATCCTGCGGATATTGCTTCTAGAGGAGCAACCTCCACTGATTCAGGCGCACTTCAAACCTGGTTAAATGGTCCTCAATGGATGCTCAAGGATATCGAAAGCGAGGGAGTTGAGGGGAAGAATAATGAAGAATGTCCCGAAGAATGTATTACAGAAATGAAAGCCAACGATCGAAAGGCATTTCAGAACACTTGTTTACTCGTATGCACCGAAACAAGTTACCAGATCCAGAGCATTATTGACGTACGAAGGTTTAGCAGTTACCAGAAGCTTATTACCGTTACATCAATGGTTTTACGATTTATTCGACGAGTGAAGAAAGCCCATTTAAGAGCCGAAGAGAATAAGAACTCTGAAGCTGAAATCGCAGAAATTTTATGGTTTAAACAAATCCAGTTAGATCTTCCAAATCATCCTTCGTTTGAAACGTGGAAAAAACAGTTTGGATTATTCTGGGATAAGAATGGAATCATCAAGTGCAAGGGACGAATTTCGAAAGCGAACATTCCTGACGAAACCAAACATCCAATTCTATTGAACGCAAAGAATAGATTAACCGAGTTAATTGTTAAGGAATCCCACAATCGCGTGTTTCACAACGGTGTTAAAGAGACACTTACAGAACTACGCTCGAGGTTTTGGATAATTCGTGGCAGACAATTTGTAAGGAAGTTAATTCACAGGTGCGTGGTTTGCAAGAAACACGAGGGTAAACCCTATTCCCTACCTGCCTCCCCAGCTTTGCCAGAATTTCGAACACAACGACAAGCACCCTTTGCCTCGACTGGAGTTGACTTTGCTGGGCCGCTGTATGTCAAAGAATCAAAGAAGAGCAAGACACAAACAAAGACCTGGATCGCCCTTTATACATGCGCTGTCACGAGAGCTCTCCATTTGGAACTCGTTTCGGACATGACTAGTGAATCTTTCCTATTGTGTTTTCGACGATTCTGTGCGAGGAGAGGACTTCCCAAGAGAATGATTTCTGATAACGCCAAGACGTTTGTAACTGCGTCCCGAAGATTAAAGGCTTTATTTCAACTTCCTGAAGTTAGACATCATATGGAGATCAAACGGATTGAGTGGTCATTCAATACTCCTAAAGACCCTTAGCAAGGAGGATTCTTCGAACGATTAGTTAAGTCAGTAAAGCGGTGTCTGAAGAAAATACTCGGGAAAGCATGTGTCACCTATGATGAACTACTAACTATACTTACAGAGATTGAGTGTGTCTTAAATTCAAGACCGTTAACTTATGTTTCTACCGAAGATCTCGAGGAACCTTTAACGCCATCACACCTACTTTGTGGAAGACGAATTTTATCTGTGCCATCTGGCGATACATCTGAGCTAATACATGTAGATCCTGACTGGAACCCTAAATCGGAAGAATTTACTAAACGTGTTGTTTATTTACAGAAGTTGATTGACAAATTTTGGAACAGATGGTCGAAGGAACACTTCCCAGAATTCGCTGTCTCAAGAAATAAGCGTAGGAGAAATG